AGCCACCCCTGGCAAGTGAAAGGCTGAAAGAGATCACCTTCTCCATCTCCCCACGAGCAAGAGGAAAATCCCAGAACAGGTTATGGTTCAGTGAGCCACATCCACTTCCCTGTTCACGTTGCCATCAACCTGTAACTCCTGCCTGGGGACTGCAGCAAAGGTAAAATACAAACGTGAGCATAAAATGTTACATGACCAAGGAAATACAAAAATATGTAGTCAGTGAGAACTACTGTACATGGGTTTGATCTTGCGGTGAATCAAGCGCCTGCAGTTTCTAACAAGGGCCAGATGGAGCTGCAGTTCCCTCTCAGTTCCCAGAATCAGGCCCTTTGTTGGGGGTTGTTCACATACAGCTGCTGTATAGCACAGGTTTCTCAAGCTGTGGAGACCTCTCCTTGAAGTCAATTATCAAGTCAATTATGCCTGGAAAAATATTGCAGGATCAGGCTATTTGTTACAGCCCTGGGACTACAACTGCCTCCATTTGAATTTTATAATATATCAGTCCAGGATACACAATTATCCATAGAGTACTCTCCCAAGGTCACATGAGGATTTTATCATATCACTGCAGTGCACCATCTTCCTTGCCAGCCCATTGCTGTTCTGCTACAGACTACATTACCGTGCCTCAGCAAATACACCAGCACGCTGCTATATTTAGTGTTTCATACATACCACTAAAATAGAGGATGTGTCAGCTTTTAATCTGACTTCAAATTTTTGTCAGCAAAGTAAAAGCTCATTTTCCCTGCCCGTGATGAAGTGAGCTCTGTGTTAGTCATCTTGAGCTATGTGGTGACAACTTTAAAATACATTAGGCAGCTAGAATGCTCGAGCTGGATAGAATGATTTTTACTAGAGATATCCTAGGAGGTAGCAAGGATGCATAGCGTCAGTCAGCCAGGTTTCAGTAGTGACTACCAGAGGCTACATAGAAACCCCACAGCAATCTGGTGGCAAGAGGAGGAGCTAAGCAAGGTGTTCTCTGTGGTACCACAGAAGGCAATCAGGACCTCCTGGGTTACAAATCCAGAACAGAGATAGGTTTGGTGATAAGTACCTGACAATACAAGAAGAAAAGCAAAGCATTGATGATGATGATTTGAACAGTGGTCTATTGCATGGTGATGGGACTGGGGCACTCCTATTAGCAACATCATCTATTAATGACAGCAGGAATGCAGTTTAATGGTTGGAACCACAGTTACCACTAGGATCGCCATGTTAATTCTGAAAGAAAGTAGGGCTCAGTGGATGAAGCTGGCATTTTCACAGATCTTGGTAAGGCCTCAGAATAGGATGGTTTTTACATATTCATAAAACTTACTCATTCACGCCATCACATACAAAGAGTACAACTGTGAATTGTCTCCCTGTCTACTGCTTCTACACCGAGCCAACAGACAACTTGCTAACCTACAGACCAAGGGCAAGCCTGTCTATGTGGAAAGCAACTTTTCCACTCCAAAGTGCTTATTATCTCTTACAACTGTCCCTTGCACTTTGTGAACTACATCTTAAAGGGTGTGGGTGACACCATATTTGCACCCCAAGTCTAACTCCTAATAACATTGCGTTTACTTATTAGTGTGCAGTTATATAAATATATAAATACATACTTTTCCAAGTCTTTATGGAACCCCATTTTAGCCCAACCCAGGGTTGAACATGCCAGACCCATGAAGCTGCAGCAGGGCTGTTCTCCAGCTCTGCCACAGTCCTTCCCAGCCATGGGACCCAACCCGCAGATTGACATTGACATCTTTGACCCATCCTGATCCTCAGGGCCCTGCCTGGCCATCCTGGAGCTGTGTCTGTCTCCACTCCCATGTGTGCCCCTGGTCCCCAGAGAGCCAACAGCCCATGCTTCATCCTGCTGCTACTAAAGAAAATAGAAAGCAGAATGAATTCATACCTCTAGAGTCACATCTTTCCATGATTTAGTATTTTTTCCTAATGACTTTTTTTTTTTAATATTCAGAACATAATTGTTTCCAGTGCACCAGTACCAGTGTTATTACTTCTGGAAATAACAGCACTAGGCCTGGAAACCCTGTCAGCAATACTGGTACTTCAAAGGAGGTTCCCCTGGGGTGGCTGAGCAGTCTATGCAGCTGTAGCTTTCCTTAGGAGACATTTCAGGTATTCTGCTTAACATATTGTGAGGCGCTCACTGTAAATCCAGGGAATGGAAGCCCTAAAATACTGCATTTATTTGTTAAAAAAAAAAAAAAAAAAGCAACCCAGCAAGAGAGGGAACAACAGTCTAAAGGGCAGGGTTTTTTAACTCTCAAACAAAAACATGGCTTATATGGAGAACCACTAGAAGCCAAGGACACCACAGCCCTAGGAAAGGGCTGCAGGAGTCCCTGCCCCTGGCTGCATCAGCTCTGAGCTGCATCCCCAGCTCCTGCTGGGATGGGATTACAGAGGCTGTCTCCATCCGAAATGGTTGATAGTGTATGGTGGGGAGGGCAGGCTGCTGCCCTACTACTACCCACCACTGTGGGCCTTGAGAGCTCTAGTTTGAGAGAGCTTTCTCCACACCAACATGAGAAAAGAGGTCAGGAGAAGAAAGGGAAACAACAAAAGAGAATGAGAAAGAATAGGAAGTGATAACAGAAAAGGAAGGTGGTGCAGAAAATGAACCTGAGCAGAAGAATGCTGTGTTCTGTATGTGGCCGATACAGGCAGCCTGCTGCTGCTTCTTACCCAAGAAATTCCAAAACAGAAAAAAAACTTCTTATCCAGAAAGCAGAGAAAATATCAGAAATGTTAGGAACTGCAAACCTAGAAGGAACCCTGTCCCTCAGTCCAAGACATAATTTGATCAATTTTTAAATTTGAATCATTTTTCTCTTTTTTTTTTTTTTTAATGCTTTAACATAACAAACTTCAAAGCCAAAAGTTTCAAAGCCAAATAAAAATCAAAACTTCTCACTTTGAAAACTGTTAGAACATCTCGGGTCAAGACGTAACGCTTATTTTACAGAAAGGATTTGAAATAGAAATTAATGGATGCTAACCTTTTCCAGTAAAATGGTTCCGTTTGAAGAAATAGGCATATTCTGCCAGAAGCATTTTAATGATAACTATACTACCAGCTCTATCATATGCTAGATTTCCATGATTAAAGTTCCACCTCAATGACCAAACTGCGTCAGAAAATGACCTGCCATTCTTCTTTCATAGCTACAGCTATGAAATTTTCAACTATCATGTTCTACTGTAAAGACAGGTGCTAAACTTTATCTCTTTTGGTGACAAAATTAATGTTATCATAAAAGCAAAACAATTCAAACATTAATCATAGTAAAAAATTGGAATGCTGCTGAAATAATGTTTTGTTTAAAATTTATGTGCGCTTGATGTGTTTTCATTGTAAAGCAAGCCTTCAGTGACACAGAGGGGTTTTGATCCAAGCAATGAAAACACTAAGAACAATTGCTAAATCAATCTCAGAATTGATGGGATTTCTTTAGCTTTGGAAGAGCACAGACGCATGTTTCAATGACAAATACCATGATGGAATAGATACACATACAATTCATAAAGCGGAAAAAGTTAATGTTCACAGCACTTGAATGAAAATACTTATAGTATGCTCAACAGCATTCATGTTATTTTGACCTGATGTTAAGTACACAAGGGTGAAATTGCCAATAGAGACCTGAGTTTTCTAGGCCAGGGTTGCTGGCATTTTGCTAAGTCAGCATGTTTGCCAGCAGAGCCATTGAATCAGTGACATTGGCTGCAAAAGGCTTCATTCATCTACTTCTAACGGTGCTAAGGTGGCCCTTGGAAAGAACTGAGAATGCAATTTAGAGCAGAGACAGATGTTCCTCGGAGCAGGAAGAAATCACTGAGTTAGCAAACTGGCTTAAACTGGTCCTTCAGGCCAAGAAAATATTGCTAAGTCATCTAGGGACAGAGGGATAATTACAACAACATTGTCCAATTGCTTTCATTTTAATTGACACACACTGCATACATATTGACTAGTGAAACAGAAAAAGCAGTCGGAAACGGGTGACTCCAGAGGTCAGTTGTTTTATGACTGAAATATTTCTATCTGGCAAAAGCTTTTGTGGGAATGATGATTCACTTTAGACCAGGGATATTTCTTTTTGCAAAACTGTGGGGCTGTTATTAAATTCCAGTAACCCACATTTTGGGAAGCAGCTTTTTTTCTCTGTATTTCTTAATTGTTCTTCATTACAATTTAATAAGGACGTTTACCCTCAATTAAGCAAATCATCCAAGCAGTTGCTACTCCCCATTGCAATGAATTGGTTTTGTCAAATGTGGGTTTAATTGCACGTTAAGTATCTTGCTGAATCAGGATCTCTGTGTGTATATCTGCCTATCCAAACCTTTCCTGAGCTCCTGGCACACTGACGCAGGTGGGGTTCAGGGTATCCATTCCTTTAAATCCACTTACTGCTCTTATCTTGGTTCCTTGCAGCACATCAGCTGTAACTAAATGATTGCCCCAGAAAACCAAACACACCAACGCTGTTCATATTGACAACCGCATTAACTGTCTCCTGAGCTCATGCTACAGAGTGATTCAGGCACCAGGACCCTGTCACTGGGGACAAGGCTTGGAGGGGTTTACATTTTTTGGTAAATGTGCCCGTGTAAGGAGCCTCTGCTCTGTAAGGAGCCAGAAAAAGCACTCAGGTACGCCTCACCTCCACTCACCCTACGCCCACCAGCACCACTCTGACACCAATAACAAATACTTGGCTTCAGCCCTCTTATTTCAGAACTCACCTTGCAAGGCGTAAGTCAAAAGTTGTTGAATTATCAGCTTTCCTAAGAAACACTTAAGTCCTACACCACTATGTCACGAACAACAGCACGGATAATTGTAGCAACTGCACAAAATAACTGAAACTGAGAACAGCAGAGATTCTTCCGGGTCCTCCATCGAGGCACGCATATCTACACAAGCCACCAAGAAACTTTCAAGAAGTAAAGTAGTGTCTTACCTGCTTTTTCCTTACACAGCTTCTGAAACAGCACCTGTAATAAATAAATTAATTTTTGTTTAATAATTACACATTTTTTTCCTTCAAATAAGTTTCACATTTCAGGATGACACTGTATGCCATCCTTAAACATCATCACCACCTTAAACACGGCATAAAATCCAGAGCTCATCAATAAAAATCATGGGGAATATCTAGTTTTGCTTGCTAAGGACAACCTCGTGCCCATTCCCAAAACAGGTTCGTCTCCCTTCCAAGGAGTGAGCTTAGGAGCAGTCTCTGGCACAAGCAGGGTACGTGCTGGAAGGACACATGAGGTCCAGCACACTGGAACACACCTGGAAGTGTCTCATGATGTTGGTGGGACTCAAGGAGGCAGCATGCCAGCTGCTGGAGAGGCATGTGTGGGCAGCTGTACCGACAGGTGGGAAACAGGGGACACTGCAGCTATAGCAGCTCGGAGAAGCAGTGATGGTACTTGTTCATCTGTGACCAGGAGAGGGTCCCTCTGTCTGAGGGATGTGGCCAAACTGACTTGCCGCATTGCATTCTTCGTATTTTTCATCTCCTTCCTTTGGGTCTGTCATGGTAACTGGAAGTGGTACCGTTAATGTCACGTTGGACACACCTCTTGGTCTGTTACTTTTCTCTTTAATAGCTTGCAATGCCCAAATCAGTGATGAAATGCACATCATCCGTTCTCCTTTTATACAATAAATCCATAAAATATCCAAACAATGCACCCTGCAAATGAAACTAGTACAATGGGTGAAACTGTAACTAATTATTTTTTTTTAATTAAACAGAAGGCTGAACTCATTCTTCCAGATACCAGTGAACTCACAGGCGTGAAGTGCCCAGCCTGCTGCCAGCTGAAAAGGCAGCCACTCCTCTACCTTCCAGTGACACCCTCCCTGCTCTTGTTATCTCCTTGTCCCCATATGGACAACCATCTGCACCTTTCTGTCACATGCACCAAGTGCTCTGTTACCTCTTGAGTAAATATTGCCTCTGCAGCCTTGATAGGAATCTGTCTATAAAAACATGTTTTTTATTTACCTTTCATTTAGTGAAGAATTTTACTGAGATGTTGGAAAATTCCTCCTCTAAGCACAGAATGGAATTGGTCAAGCATCTTTCAATAATAGGGAAAAGCACAGCTAGATTGCAGTTGTTTTCCCTTCTGCAAAGCAATTTCATTGTAAAAAAGACTCTTACTCTGTCTGAAGGGCTGCCTGAACAGCAGCTGAAGTTAGTCCGTCTGTAGCCAGCAGGGACCAAGCGAGGTGGTCACTTCTAGATGGGAAAGTAACGAGTGGCTGAATCCAAATCAGGTTTTGTTATTGGCAATTTGTAGCTTGGCTTTAGTTCCAAGTGGAGGCCTGCTCTGTCTCCCACACACTGCTGTGCGCTTCCCCAGGCTGAACTGGTTTGTTTAGATTTCATCCAGGCTCCCCTTTGATTTTTAGCTCAGTGATGGTGAAATGTCCACAGAGACAGGAGCTGAGCCCCTTCCACACTGAGGGTCCACCAGTTCCCTGGTGGGCTTGTGGTACCTGCATGGACCCTCACACCAGACCTCTTCTCCTCTTGCTCTTAGAGATTCACCTCCCCCTACATCTTCTACAGCCTAGAAAAGGAGAATGAGCTTTTGATTTTGGCCAAGAAGGCCAATGGTCTCCTAGGGTGCATTAAAAACAGCGTGGCCAGCAGGTTGAGAGAGGTCATCCTCCCCCTCTAGTCTGCCCTGGTGAGGCCACTTCTGGAGTATTGTGTCCAGTTCTGGGCCCCCCAGTTCAAGAAAGTTAATGAACTACTGGAGAGAATTGAGCAGAGGGCTATGAAGATGAGCAAGGGACTGGAGCACCTCTTTTATGAGGAAAGGCTGAAAGACCTATGTTGAGACTGGAGAAGAGAAAACTGAGAGAGGAGCCCATCAATGCTTATAAATATCTAAAGGGTGGGTGTTGAGAGGATGGGGCCAGACTCTCTTCAGTGGTGCCCAGTGACAGGATAAGAAGCAGCAGGCACAAACTGGAACACAGGAAATTCTATCTCAACATGAGGAAAAACTTTACTTTGAGGGTGCCAGAGCACTGGAACAGGCTGCCCAGAGAAGCTGGGGAATCTCTTCTCTGGAGATATTAAAAATCCACCTGGATGTGTTCCTGTCTAGCCTGCTCTAGGTGATCCTTCTTTGGCAGGGGGGGTTGGACTAGCTGATCTCCGAAGGTCCCTTCTGACCCCGACCATTCTGCAACTCTGTGATTTTGTGATTCTATGATGAATTACAGCCATCTGGCTGAAGAGTAAATTCAACTTGTTTCCCAAGTCTTTATGCATTGCCCCATTCTGCAAAGAGTAAGAAGCAGAACTCCAGCATTAAGCCAAAATTTCTCCAGCAGCATCACTCAAGAATCAGCACTGAGCCCTCAGGAGAGGGCTTTTGCAAAAGCATCTCACTTCCAGAGAGGAATGGAAAATTCAGACACACGCTGTGTTGATTGGCAAAGGACAGGCAGGTCCCACATCAGTGTGCCAGGTTTTTGGGTTGCCCTTCCTCATGAGAAACATAATTCTGTCCCTCCACTGTGCAGTGAGCCGCGTTGTTCTCAATCACCCTGCTGGCAACAGGCACCTGATTTTTAGCATCATGATGCTGGCATAAGAACGCTGGAGGTGGGTGCCTGAAGTGCCATACTGAATCTTGGGATAAGCACTTCGTGAAGAATACATAAATGACATGTGAATCAAAATAAGTATGTCAATCTTGCTTGGGTAGCTGCTTTCTGTGTTTTAGCACAGCCAGAAGGGCACCAGCTATTATAAAATCAAACCCAGGCTATGATAACTTCAAAAATCTTTTTAGGATGTCATATAAAAAGGATGCAAATTGTTGCTGGAACAATCCCAAGCCGCAACAGAAAGCTGCCAACTAAAGAGATTTATGGAAATAATAATGATAATGCACTATATAACTGATTGTATAACAAAATATGTTTATTGGAGGACTAGCATCGCATGTGAGCAGCTCGGCAGCATCTAATCAAATATATAGAAACCATGGACCAAGAGAGTACAACTCTAGCCAAACGGCTGTTGCAGCACCTGCTGCTATGAATAATAAAGAAATCATTTGCTTACAACTCCAGCTGTAGCAATTTTGCAAGTGGAAGTGTCAAACAGAAACCAAGGACAAATACGCTCTGCTGATATAACCATGTGTTATTTGCTGAAGTATGTAAGCCAGCAGGCAGAAACCAGGAATTTATGAGATGCTGGCTCTGTTTCTCCCCCCCTCAGCAGCCCTGTGGCTCAGCGGGGCCATCCCACGTTCACCTACATGAGCAAAGGCTCCCAAGAAGCCTGCCCGTGTGGCAGGTCCCTTTGCTTTCTGATCAGAGCAGGATGAGCCAGCCTTGTGAATCAGGCAAAGTCCACCCTCAGCGGTGGCACAGCTAATTCAAGGGACAACTTGCAGCCAAGTGAAGCTCAGCATCTACACTGCTAAATAAAAGATGGCCATTGATGAGGCCAAAGCACCGTGCCCGGGTCTTTCCACCTGGCTCAGCAGCTCTGGCTTTGTTCCCAACAGCTCTGAAGGGTTTTGCTCAGAGCATGCCAGCTATTGGAAAGTGTGGCCCCAGCAGTGGGGACAAGGGGACACTCAGTGCCACTTGGCCTTGGGCAAGGGACTGGTCCCTGGCTCACAGTTACCTTGCCCTATAAACATAGTCTCAGAGTCTGTAGCATTAAATTTACAGGTCCTGTATGGATGTACAACATGTCCAGAGAATTTTTTAGAAATCATTACCTGAATCTAAACCTGGTAGAGCGAGGTGAAAATAACATCTCTGTTCAAGAGATATTTAAAACCAGGGACACACTTTAAGCATGTAAATGATCCCATTAAAGCCACTTACAGAGCCATGCATGTGAAAAAGTGTATTTGGGGCACAGAGCAAAGGAGGGAAGAAAGCCTGTGGATATGTGAGTGGGAGGAAAGTGAATATAGTGCATTTATAAAGAACTTGAAAGATTTTCCTGAAAGGCATTCTGTGCGGAAACAAGCTACTCAAATGAACTCATTGGATTAAGTGGAAGTGAAGGTAGAAGCAAAACAACAGCATTATAAACTCAACAAGGAAAATAAACACACTCATCAAAAAATTGTTTCTCTGATGTATACATAATCTTTCATGGTTATAAGTGATCAGGGCATGGAACTCATCAAACAACTGGATTAAATGATTTAATAATGTCCCCGTAATAATGTCACATAAAAGCTTTTTTCTTTCAGAAAAGATGAATACAAAATAGTTGACTTCAACAACTTCAAAACCATTTTAATTTGCAACAGCACAGGGATTCTGCAATGCCAGCCAATCCCCAAACACCACATACCATATACAAGAAAAAAAGACCATTTTCTATCCAAGTCTTTTGCTTCCCTCTTCCCTGTCAACTCCTATTAGTTATTAGCCATTTTATGCTCCAATTTCAAATATGCACAAATCTGCCACTGGTATTTCAGAGTACCTGTCAAACTGTAATCATTCACTCTCAGGAAATCACACCCTCCAAAAAAAAATCAAAAAGGTAATTAACGTATCTGTCCAACATGCAAATAACTCTTCTGGATGTTTAAAAAAAATCCAGAGAATTTACTCAACATAGATATGGTATCAAAATTATCACTGCTATCAAATAAATGCTGGCATTTTGATAGGACTACTTGACATCTGCTGTTAATAAAAAAGGCTTTTGATTCTGCATGCTTATGTTCTGCGGTGAGCAACCAGCAGCATCACTCTGAAACACCGCACTTCCTTCAGAGGAAAAAAGGATAAATCTGTATGCCTTCCTACTGGTTAACTGATACAGAAGGAAAGCACTCTGAGCTGGTAAAGGTCCTGCAAAGTATAAAGACTGAAAATCCTCCTGGGTCTTCATTCTACTGATTTAAAAATCTGCTGGGCTTTAATTAAAGTGACACATAGACAGTTCTAAAGAAGGAAACCAGCAATCCACATG